TAATCTATGAGATTTACTTTATATATTACATAAAAAGAATAAAGTTTGTAATACCAAAACATTGTGCCTTATTATTTGTTAAACATTGTCAACTGACGATTTTTTACCATTTTTGCACACACCGATCACTATAAGAATTCTCTGCTTCATTCACGGATCGTCAATTAAGGAATCAATTTTGAAAAAAGTACATGTGGTTGTATATGGTCTCCATTTTTTGTGTGTGCGCACATGTATGTAGATATGCTTCCTAATTTACATATTACAAATTCCAGTGTTTCTTAATAATAAATCTGATATTAATCATTGGTGTCAGATTTAATAAAATTTTCCTTTTACTAATGTACTATCATGCAAATTGTAAGTTTGCACTCCTCATAACTATAGAATTTTTCTATAGGTGACGCCATTCATACATCAGATAGGCTTTAAGACAAGTGGGAGGCTTTAACAACCCTTTGCCAACAACACAATTTCAATAAACCTCAGAACCTTCCTGAAGTTTAATTGCATCATTATATCATAGGGACGCCAGCTTCAAATTAGCCTTTGTACACAAGGAATTATTTTTGAATGTTTTGAGTCTTTAATCAACTTTCAATGTCCTGATAATCAATCTATAATTTATTTATAAATTATTTAATATTAATAATTTGTTTATTATTATGATAAAATAATCTTATGGAGGTGAACATAATTTATTTACCTTCTTCCAGTTCCAGTCTCAATAAAATTCTGAAAAAAAGGTTATTAAAAAAACAGTTAGTAAATATTCTGAAATCTTATTTGTAAAAGAATATCTTTTAATGAGTTGCCCAATTAATCCAGTTCCAGCCTCTGAAAAAAGTTTACTAAAAAACAATTAGTAAGCCTAAATCAACAGAATTTTGTGATATCTAATATTCAACATTGTTGTTATCAATTTTAATGCTTTGCTATTCTCTATTTTTTAAGAATGTTTTCCCAAATAACCATCTCATAAAAATTAAAAACGCGACTATTTGTATATATAATAATATTATTAATAATAATCATTTTCTGCTCTAAATGGTGGATATTGTCCATTAATTCTATATGCTATGTACTCTCCACTCCAAAAATAAAATCTCCATACCCATACAGTAAAGTATGGTAAACAAATCAACCAAACAGACCCTACAAGCATTGCACGAAGTCCTATTTTAACAAGTCCTATTAAATGGTGAACACCACGTCGAAAGAACAATAAAACTGGAATGAATTCGGGAACATCTTCTCCATATACTAAATATATTATGTATTATTTTTTTAAATATATATATATATATATATTTATAAGTATTTTATAAAAATTTTTGAAACTTGATTACTAAAAAAAAGTTTCATTTAAAACCTACTTGGTGAAAATGAAAATGAGTGATTGCATAATTCACATTTTCTAAAAAAAAAATTTTTTCAAAAGAATTAATTTTAAATTGTTTTTTAAAAAAGATATATATATATATATATATATTACGTTTTTCCACTGTGTTTTAACCATTTCGTCAAACTAAAAGTTATATAAAAAGGTCGATATAAATCGTTATTTTTAAATATATATAAGACAATAAGAGTTATAAAAAGTAAAGTTCATAAAAATTTACCAGTCTTGATGTTTAAAAAAATTACTTCAACAATATGAAGATCCTAATGAAGTAGAGGAACTCATTCTTGATAATAAGAAAATAATGAACCTTGCTAACATTACTACTACTATTAATAATAGTAATAATAGTAGTAAAGATTTTACACCACTTAACGAGTTGATTAACCTTAGATCTCTTTCAATGAACAATACTCTCCTACACTCTATAGAAGGTTTTCCTACATTATCAAAACTTAGGAGGGTACAGTATCTATATAATAAAATATAAATATACAGATTATAATTCTTTTAAAAAATATATACTCACATGTACTTATATAGCTTACAATGGCAGATAATAAAATTGCAAGTGGTTTAATAGCTTTATCACAGGCAAAACTTGAAAATTTAAATCATCTTGATTTGAGTAATAACAGAATAAATGAATATGCAGAACTTGAGCCATTGGTAAAATGATTTGTTTCGTTTTCTTTCTTTATTTCTATATGAATTTTTTATTTTGTTTAAGAATAATGATTAATATTAATATACCAATTTATTAAATCAAGAAAAACTTAACGAATCTTAAACATTTGAGTTTAATTGATTGTCCAGTAACAAAAAGGACAAATTATCGAGTCAAAGTATTTGAAACCGTACCGCAACTTTATACACTTGATGCAAAGACTAAGTAAGTTATTAATAATATTATTAACACTATTTATTGTTTTGTGGAGCTTTGTTAAATAATAATGATGATTATGATACAACAATAATAACAAAGGGATGGAGTAATGATTGATTCTGAAGATGAAAGTGATGTAGATGAGGAATATGAGGAAGATGATGTTGCGCAATCAAATGGTCATGCAGGTTAGATTAAACTGGTAAAAATGTTTGGATTTGTAAACCTTGAGATAAATTAATTGGGAATAATTTATCATTTTCTTTTTTGTTATAATAATAATAATAATAATAATAATAATAATAATAATAATAATGACAGATTCTGCTGATGGAGAGGAAGGTGATGATGATGAAGACGAATTAAGTGAATTGGAATCAAGTGGTTCCAATGTAGATGACGAAGGAGGATCTGAATCTGAACAAGATAAAAATCAGGTAGAAAAAATCATTATGAGAACTAAATATTTGTATCATATTAGTATCAAGCCATATATATATATATATAATGTATATCATACTAATGAATGAATTATTTATTTATATACAATATTTGTAGGGAGCTAGTGACGAAGAAGAGCCAGTAAATGACAACTTAAATGTTGAAAGTGCAAGTAAGCCAAAGGATAAAGGAAAATCAGTCGCATTTCCAGAAGATTTACCAACAAGAAGTTTTTCAGAGGATGAATCCGATGACGACGACGATGATGATGTTGATGTTGTTGATGATGAGATGGAAGGCGGTGTTAATTATTTTTTAAAAGATGTTAGTAACCAATTAATATATTGTCATTTTTTATTAATTAATAATATCATGATACATATTATATATATGCACGTGTGTATTTACATATTTAAAATAGGTAATCTTTTCTGAAGGAGATACTGACGAGGAAGATTACCAACCTGATGAGGAGGATGAAGAAGACAACAGTGATGATTTATCAAATTGTAGTGATGATCTTGATCCAGTTGATATGCCTTCAACTAGTGCAGCTGCAGCTGCATTGCCATCATCAAAACGTAAAGTTCGTGTTGAAGAAAAGGAAGAAAGTGAGGTGGTGGTGGTGGTGGACGAGGATGATGATGATGATGATGATGATGATGATGATGTGACAAAAGTATCTACAGATAACGATGGTAATAATAAGGGTAAATCGAAGAATGTCAAAAAACGAAAGATATAAGTCCTTTGAAATAATATTAAGAATAATAAATTGATTATATTAGTGAGTTAATAATAATGGGTTGGAAATTTTTTTTTGATATTATTATATTTCAAAAAATTTAATACTTATATTACATATACATATGCGTGTATATAGTATTACCACAAAAAAATTTTTAATGTATGATAGCATTTACACAATGGAACATTACTATGGATGAATTTGTTTATTTATAGTTATTAAATGGTTGTTGAATTGATTGTAATATTTTATGGTTGATTTATCATAAATTATTTGTCATTGACTATGGATCGTTACTGTTAATAATATTAAATTTAATTTAATAATTATATTCACATTACATTATACTTTTTATCATTATCATTAAATTTATTAGCATTGTAAAAAAAATAAGTTTAAATTTAAGGATACGGATGATTTATCAAATATGTAATTGAATTGATATGGTGATGGTTATTACTATTATTAAAATGTACTTAATATACAAATACTGTTTTTACAACTTTAAAAATAGCACTAAAACCTTTATATGATATCGTATTCATGAATATTCTTATTAATTAAGACATTAAATTATTTACAAAATTGTCTTTTAATTATTCTGCTGCCACTAGTTGAACGTCTTTTGTATTATTTTCAGATGTTAACGTAACATTGGTTGTCGAGCTGTTTAAAATAGGATCAGTCATTGTGGTAGTTGTTAGTGGTGATGTTGCTTCTGGAGTAGAAGAGTTTGATGATACAACAAAAATTGAATTTGTTGTCAAGTTATGAGATTCTGAATGATTATTTTCTCTGAATTTTGTAATTTGTTTTAATCACATGTATATAAAATAAAAAATTAGTACTATTATTAACATGTAAAATATAAGTTGATTTTAAGGGACTTTTTTGAAAAACATACTCGGCATTTAATGAGGCTAAATTATTATCGTCATTTTGTTCCTCGTGTTCTTGATGTTCCTCATGTTCTTCATGTTCTTCATGTTCTTCATGTTCCTCATATATAACATCATTGGATGATTCTAAAGGTTCTTCTAATGTATCCTCATTCCAAAGTGGTAACCACCATCCACCTCTACTACCCTCTTCCGCTTTGATAAATCCACGAAAATTTACAAGTCTAGAAAGGGCTGTTTTATTTTCAAGTTGAGAGAAAAAGCCAGAAGATGGTAGAATACAAGATATATAACCAAATGAATCTTTTCAAAATATTTGGATCAAATGATTTTAGTGAAATGTTTCAATGATTAAAAATTACAAGATATAATTATCAATCTTTTTTTGTTTTTTTACTTACAAAAATATCCCGAAAATAATCCACATAAAAAACTAACAAACCACATACGAGAGAACAAAATTACCATTATTAATAGTAACACTATTGGATAAAAGTGTGCTGGAACTTTAAAAAGTCCAAAAATACTGTAATAACAACAATTATTATTTGTTTATTTATGATTCAAAGGTATAATTATATCGAACTTGAAGCTTAAATTAATAATTACTCTCTCTCTTTTCCAGCTAATTCTCTACTTTCCCATACTACAACTCCAAATACCCAAGTGCTTAAACCTCCTACCATCATTGATTTATAATCAAAAATTAATGAGCCAATCAAATAGAACGAACCAGACATTATTGTAAATATGGTTATTAGAACATATAAATATTCTAAAGTTCCAATTGTATGCTCAATAGTTGTACTCAATGGTAAAAAGGCAAGCAAATTGAAGAGGATATGACCAAGAGAAAAATGCGGTAATGGATAAGTGAACAGACGCCATACTATTTTATTGATTTAATAAAAAAACCACGCACATATATCAAGTAGTTTTTAGCCAAATTTTGTATATTTATTTATTGGGATTTATTTTATGAGTTATTCTTTAAATCAAACCTACTTTGTCCTTCAAAGAAACTTTCAGGTTCCAAAGCTAAGGCATTATATATTATATTACTGCCAGTAGCATCAATTATATAAAAAATTATAGAAATACAAGCAATTATGGTTGTTAAAAGTGGTAAAGACAATATATAAGATTTAAAACTGGAGGTAACCGTTGAAAATGAAGGTATGTTTCTTTGAACTTGTGACATATTGACAAAGATCGCGTAAATTAAAAAATTTTTTTTAATAAATTAAAAATTACAGAACAATTTTAAATTTAAAAAGTTCAAGATCACCTGAACAGTTATTTAGGAATTTTCGCAGGGCAAATTCAAAAATCGATAGTGGTTTTTAAAAATTTTTAATGATAATCAGTTAAATTTCAATAATTCAAGAATTAAAAAAAACCATCATTGCAAAAAATGGATATAAATGAAGATATAGTATCGCAGTTGAAAAAAGAAGAAGCAATAAGAAAATTAATAGATTTGGTAGTGATGTAATTAATTTTGTTTAATTATATTTATGTTTGTATGCACACTAATTCAGAATCACTTTTTTTGTAACTTTAGGTCAATGACACTAAGGATCTTCCATTATATATTAATTTAATTAAGCTTGACGGGGTAAAAAAAACACGTAGAAACTTCTTAGAACAAATTTTCAACCCTATACTTAAAGCTAGGACACTTGGTTCAATTATTGATGAAATTCATATATCCATTGACAAGTTATACCGTCTTGATATTTTCAATAATTTTGATGTATTACTTGATACAAGTAACGACCCATTAGCACAGAAAGATGCAATTGATGTTTTATTGTCGGTAAAGGAAAATAAGAGATTTTTTATAAAAACTGGCACAGAAATTGGAAATGATTCTGGAAGTGCGGTAAAACCTTTTTTTTCTTTTTTTCCGATGACATGATCAAATTTTCTTATTGTAGTGATGAGATATTCATAAAATTTTAGCATATGATTAAGGAAGCTTTTACTTTTATAAATTTTGTAGAATTTGTCATTGACTGTACGTAATCTTTTTGGTGGCGCCGAAACATTGGAAGCATATATGGCAACTAGTACTCAAACTTCACATATATTCCAAGTGAGAACCTTATATATATATATATATATAATAAACGTAATATTTGTATCATATAATTTTTGTTCACATATTATTTAGTTTTGTTTAGCAACACCGATCAATGGAAATCCAGATTCCAAAATCGACATTTCGGCGTTTAGAATGACAAAAAGTAATCAATCATACAGTTCTCATGATGAAATCTTAAAAGGTTCTGCCTTAAGATGGAGAGTAGGTTTATCATAATTCTTCAATTTTTTTAAATATAATAACTTATGTATATTGCTTTGACAACAATAATAATATCTGTCCTTTTAAAATTTAGGGAATATCAAAATTAGGATTTCATGAGTTAAATTATGGTTTTATTTGGAGACAAATTTTACGAATTTATGGGAAATATCATTTTCTATACAAACTGTTGTTTAACACCATACTGATTAATAATCAACATCAAAAACTTTGCTTTATACCAAAATAAATAAACAAAATCTCAGAGTTGTATACCACTCTGATAACCAGATTGATAATTAAACCCTACTGTTTAATTTCCAACTACAAGTGTTTTTAAAAGAATTTATTTTATTTATTATTATGTGTGAAATTATTTTTACAAGTGAATTAAATTAATGATGATAAATAAATATTTCTGCCTCTACTTATTACCAAGGCTCTGAAATATTAATTAACCAGTTGTTTTTTTCACTTAGTCAAAAGTGACTTACTTTTGTAATGATTTTTAAATTAAACTGAATTGAATCAAACCAAATAAAACGTCCTATCAGAAAGTTCAGCCAATCTTATTGATTTCTTGTGACGCGTAATTAATTTCGTAATTTCGTAATTACGTTTTTGGCAAAACAATTACCATGCATATTATTAATTTTGGTATAGAAATAAAGTTTATCATATTTTTATATGAAGTCATATGTTTAAGTGGGTAAAATTATAAATTTTCTTATACGAAAAAATGGGCAGAGAATTTTAAGTGAGATACTTTAAATGGGCGAAGAAAATCTTAAAAAGTGGGTAAAGTTTTCAAAAATTACTATATATTAGATTTTCATGCACTTTCACACTGTAAATGAACAATTACAATTCAAAAAATTTAGTCACAAATAATTCAGGGAAATTTCCTCATGACTAATATGACTAATAATACTAATGACAATAATTATATTAATCTTGAAAACTATTTGCAGCAGTCGTAGTTATTTGCGGAAGCCATATCTATTCGCAGAATCCGTAGCTATTTGCAATAGCCATATCTATTTATGACAGCCGTAATTATTTGAGGCAGCTGTAATCATTTATAACAAGCAAATGGTAGTTACCTAGAGCTATTACAGCAATGGTAGATACCAGCTAATCATTTATGGCAAGTGCCTTTAGTGGTTTCTATGTAAAAAAAGAAAATTTTACCTTTAAAATGGTCAAATATATTATTTTGTATGTAAACATCAAATCTTTCTTTTTCATCATGGATTTGGCACTTTTTATCCATATCAATGGTTTGGTTTGCTTGTCTAATCCATCATAATCATCCTTAAACAAGAATTCAAAATATGTATCTGGGGATTTTTCCCAGTGTGTCATTATAATTGTTCTGAGCTAAAATATATAACTTACCTAATTCTTATGAATCTTAATATATTCATCTAGTCTATCAAGCTTTAGATATCAAATGTAGCCATTCTCTTTTTTGATCTTTTTTTATTCTTAACAATTCCATTATTTTCCATTTAAAAACTTTACAAGCTGATAATGAATCTATAGGTGTATTATAGAATAAATTAATCTGTGATTTAGTATATATAAATTATGAAATATAATATTTAATTGCAAATTTACAAAATATAATAATTTATGTATTTTTATTCCAAGAAGCACTATCAAATCAATTGAATAAAGTAGATGAAAACCAGAAGTATTATAATACAAATATGTAAAATTCTAAAATTTACTTAAAAACTTGAAATTCTTTTGCAGTTAAATTCACATCAAAAGTAATAAAATTTTATTCTATTCTGGTCAAATACTTTCCATGCACTGTTGGATTTTCAAAAAAATGTAAAAACTGAAGGATTTCACTAAAAGTTTAAAAAAGTAAACAAACTTCATAGTCTAGCTACTCCATATATAGGTTTCGTAAAAGAGTAAAAATGCTATCAAAAAAGTTAAATAAAAACTTTAATTATGTGTCCAAGATCATTTTTATTTCAATGTTAAAAAGAATATATTTTATTGGATGTTCTGGGTATACTGTTTATTTATATTTTCATATCATCATCATAGTTATTATTTACACCATCATCATCTTCATTTATAATATCTTTATAACATCATCATTTTCATTTATAATATCATCATCTTCATTTGTAACATCATCATTTTCATTTATAATATCATCATCTTCATTTGTAATATCATCATTTTCATTTATAATATCATCATCTTCATTTGTAATATCATCATTTTCATTTATAATATCATCATCTTCATTTGTAATATCATCATTTTCATTTATAATATCATCATTTATAATATCATCATCTTCATTTATAATATCATCATCCTCATTTATAACATCACCATCCTCATTTATAATATCATTATCTTCATTTATAATATCATTATCTTCATTTATAATATCATTATCTTCATTTATAATATCATCATCTTCATTTATAATACCATCATCTTCATTTATAATACCATTCTCATAATCATTATTTATACCATCATCATAATCATTGTTTATAACATCATCATCGTCATCATAATCATCATAATAATCATCACCATCATCACCATCATAATCATTTATACCATCATCATCATTGTTGTCATCATCATCATTATTATCATCAATTGCGTTTATCTCATCATTTTCATAAATTCTGTAATTTTCAATCCTTTCATATTCATCAATCACATCATCAACATTTCTATTCAACTCAGAATCTTCATAATATTCACTTAACCCATCTTCGTTTATTTGATTATTACTTTCATAATCTTCAACATCATTATTATTTTCATCTTCATTTATCACATGATAATGATGATCATAATTATTATTTTCTATTATTTCATTGATCAATAAATTGGCAACATTGTCATCATCATCATCATCATCATCATTATTTTGAGGAATTGCTGCTCTATCTTCTATCATCGCATGAGCTTGGTTTATTAAATTATCATTATCATTATTTCCTTGTTGTTGCGCCATTTCATTTTCAAGAAGATCTGGATCCTCTTCATTTAGTAAATTATCTTCTGGTTGTGTATTCTGAATTATCCATTCTCTTAACAAAAATGCAGCCACAAAAATAATTACTACAACACATGTAATTATTTGACCTTCAAAAGCGTCAGCAAAAAAAACACTAAAAAAAAAAAAAATCAAAATATAACATATATTAAATTAAAATCTACTTTTACTTTTTAATTTAAAATAACACTACTAACCTTGTAAATTCACCAAATTCTTTTATAATATTTTCCACTTCAGGAGGTAAATACCATAATAGTCCTTTGGCTATTTTTAAATATAATATTGAAAATGGATTTTCTTCTCTTGTAGAATTATTTATTCCATTTTCTGCTCTAAATGGTGGATATTGTCCATTAATTCTATATGCTATGTACTCTCCACTCCAAAAATAAAATCTCCATACCCATACAGTAAAGTATGGTAAACAAATCAACCAAACAGACCCTACAAGCATTGCACGAAGTCCTATTTTAACAAGTCCTATTAAATGGTGAACACCACGTCGAAAGAACAATAAAACTGGAATGAATTCGGGAACATCTTCTCCATATACTAAATATATTATGTATTATTTTTTTAAATATATATATATATATATATTTATAAGTATTTTATAAAAATTTTTGAAACTTGATTACTAAAAAAAAGTTTCATTTAAAACCTACTTGGTGAAAATGAAAATGAGTGATTGCATAATTCACATTTTCTAAAAAAAAAATTTTTTCAAAAGAATTAATTTTAAATTGTTTTTTAAAAAAGATATATATATATATATATATATTACGTTTTTCCACTGTGTTTTAACCATTTCGTCAAACTAAAAGTTATATAAAAAGGTCGATATAAATCGTTATTTTTAAATATATATAAGACAATAAGAGTTATAAAAAGTAAAGTTCATAAAAATTTACCAGTCTTGATGTACATATCTAATACTGCCAGAACATTTACAAGGATAAAATAATGGATGATCTACACTACTTTCAGTTCGACAAACGCGACATACGTCTTAAATAATATTGAAAGAAAGATGTAATATTTATAAAGAAGAAAATGAAAAATTTATAAAGAACCATGTTTTTTACCTTCGTCCATAATATATAAATAAATATAATTGATATGATCTTAATAATTGCTTTTTTGTTTAAATGAAATAAATATTTTCGTGTATTGTTTAACAATCAGTCTTTGTTGAAAAGGGTCTTTTTTAAAAAAATTTTCCTTGGAATTCATTTTTATGTAAATCGAGTTTTTATTGGTCATTTTAAAATAATCAAGTAGGGAATCACGTGGTAATTCAAATTTTAAACGCTTAGCAAATAACGAGTTATTATGAAAAGGAGGATATTTTTGGTTGAACACCAAAGTGAAAGTAATTCTTGAAGATTAAAAAAATTGTTAGACTTGTCAAAAAAAGAAACCAGATTTCCATGCAAATTATATGATGTTTAAAATACAAAGTCTCATATCTAGAGCGTAAGATAAAATTTTAAAAACAACGAAGCCTGCAGAGGAGGTCTTTGGGAGTCTATTGTACGGTTATTCAGAATTATAAAAACCCCGCTTTTTTTACAAAACGTCTTAAAAAGAAACCCAATTCAATAAAAGGACCTTTACTGTTGAGATCACAATACATCTCTTTGTCGAAAAGTATGTTAGGAATTAGCAAGCTTGCTTTTAAATCATCTTATAAACAATGGTCTCACATCAAGAGTTCATTCATGGTAATATACCAAAAGAACGTCTCAATGGAAGCAAAATGTTGCGAAGAAGTTTTTTGAAAATTATGAAGTTCATGTATTACCCAAGCCCTGGGAGCTTCCAAAAAAATTAATCAAAAACAAAATTTAGCTGGTTTACACATACTAATACTAATACGTAATATAGATGCGAATAATTAAGTAGCAATCCCAAAAGGGTACTTTGGTGGTAAGTTTGTTAACATAATAAAATTTCTAGCTAATAGTTTTTGATGCATGTAACCTTCCATATTTATCGAATTTTTCAATAAAAAGGGTTAATACGTTTATCATTTGTCTCATATATCAAAATTTGTGTAATTTTTTTATGTTAATAAATATCAACAAAGTAGATCTTCAGGTAAAAACGCGGCTCAATTTTAAATGAATTAATGGATTAAGGATTCGGAATTGGATTCGGAATTGGATTCGGAATTGAATTGGATTCAGAATTGGATTCGAAATTAATGAACTTTGTTTAGAACTACAATATTTTTTTGGGAAGTAATTTTTTGTAAAATTTGGGTGTTGAAGTAATCATTTTGTTGTAGAAAAATGTATTTGTAGATCAAATATGTAAAGGTTCACTTTATTTTTCATTTTATGTAAAAAATTAATCAACTATAAAAATTATCCTGCCAATATATTTTTTTAACTATAAGTTATTATCTGAGAAATATTTTAATTATAGCATGCAGATTGCAAAAAATCAATCAGTTTTTTCATTTCTCTGAAGGTAAAAAACAAAAAATCAGTTGTTTTTTCATTTTTCATTCGCTGAAGGCAAAAATTTTTGTTTAAAAAAAAATTATTACTATGCAAACGGGAAATTAACAGTTCTTCATTAGTTAAAAAAACAATTAATAATTCTTTTTATTAGTAATAAATATCTTTATTTTCTTAATTAATTTATCCTTTATTTGTATTAAAAATGGCTTACACTGTTTTCAAAAAATTAAAAATTAATAATTATACGTTATTATTGATTAATTATTAATTATTGCATATAGATTGCAAAAATCAATCACTTTCACTGGAAGCAAAAAATTGTTTTCTTGAGAAAAATTTTTTTAGTTCAATCATTTCCATTTTTTTACTGTAAGCAAAAAATTGTTTTCTTCGTTCGTTTTAACAAAATTATTGTTATGCAAGTGAGATTTTTTTTAATAAAAAATTAATAATTCTTTATTAGTATCATTTATTTATACTAAATCGTAACAACAATTTCTGGCATGTTTTTACTCTCAAAACTATCTTTCACTATCATGTTTCTTAGTGGGTGCCTTCCTTAGCTGTTATTCCATACTCAACTCAGGTGCGTTCCCAAAACTACTAAATAAAATTCATTTAAATATCACCTCACTAAAAGAAAAGAAAAGAAATAAAAAAAATGGACAAATATAAAATAAGAGAAAAAATGATTATGCATGGGATTTGGTATGGATTCATTGTTAGGGATAGATTTATTATCATTATGAAAATACAATATTCAAGTCAATAACAAGGACAAAGATAAGGACAATATTATTTATTATTCCTAATTTATCCTAATTAAATGTATTACTTGAACTTTCTGTGTAGAATTATTTTCAAGTTATTTCTAAAGTGATCCAATAGTTTAAATTCTTTTGTTTGAATTTAATCTGAGAATTAAAGGTCTGTTACATCAGAATCTTTGTTTCTCCATTGTCTGAGATATTTTCCATGATTCAATTATTTTATTGGTGATTAAATAACAATATTAAAATCATTCAACTTTGCTGAAGGCCAGAAATTTTTCTTCAAATAGTAACTTTTATTTGAATAGAGACTTTAAAACAGCAAATAACAAGTAACACCAGTGACAAAGTCACTGTTATAAAGCATTCACCTAGTTATTTATTCAATCTTATGTTTACTTATTATAAATAATTGTCTTTCAATATATTTTTTAAACATAATACTAAAAATCAAATATGATAATAATAAATCATAAATTACTAAGTTATAATGCTTCAAAATTTTTTGCCAATCACCAGCAGATTTCTTGTCATAACGAATTTTTTTTAGCTGGAACCATAAATCTGATGTGGCGAGATTTGACTATTATTTGTATAGAATTTTATTGTGAATTTAATTATTGATCAGAGTAAATTGAAATCACTGCCTTTTAATAAGAATTTGATTCACATGTGTGAAATTCAAATTAGCCCAATTTTAGATGTATGAAAATTTATTTTTAATTCTTTATTCACTGACATTACCTCGGGGATTATTGTATGTACTACTTACTAATGGTAGTCATGTGACATGCACATCAATTGATTTTCTATAATTACCCCAAGACCAGAATGTTTATTAAGAGTTGACAAATAAAAAACAGTTACATTCCAAATAGTGTTGTGTTGTGAACAATTGTTTGTTTGAGTGAAGGAATAAGTCCAAACTTGTTAGAAATATTTATACATTAAATCTCATATTCCTCTTTCAATTAGAATTGCATATTCCTGAATGATTGGAATTACATTATAATAATAATAATGATGATGATAGTGGAGCAGTGTAACATTCCGCAAAGTGAAATAAAATATATAAATCATATTTAATATGCATCTTTATCATAAACAAATAAAGAAAGAGTCTATATATTAATAGTAATATTATTATTGTGTGCTTAAATTATCAAGTTCATTTTTTGCCCATCCAAGAATACCATATGTTAATTTTGGGATGAGTGTTTCACATTTATAAAATTGACAATGTGTTGCATTTATAATTACTTGAGGGTTTTTTGTCTAATCATTTAATACAAACTTTTTCTATTGTAAATTTTTTGATTTTTCATCAATTAATGTTCTAACCCTTTTATACTAATATATCAATAAATATCATCAAGAAAAATAGTTACAAAAATAATATTAATAGTCACCTCAGTATTCCTCCATTCAAATTTCGGAACCAGATAATGTTCCAAACCTTTAGTACCATCATTTTCCTCATCTATTATTTCAGGTGAAAGCAGATCTCTTTCAAATAGAAATTCAATGTCATCTTTTGAGTGTTCGATATTATCATTTTCATTTAGTGTTTCTAATGCAGTTCTGTATTTTTCCATTTTCTTTTAATAAATAAAAAAAAAATTATAATGCTTCCATTAATTTTTACAATTTGAGTATCCATAATACTTTCAAAATTTTGACTTAAATTGATAAAATTTCCTAATAAAAATGACTTTAGTAGATGATCTTAACATCTATTAAATTTTAAATTTTGAATTTATATAACAAAATTAAAGCGGGAATCCAGCTTGGCATCATATAGAAGTAAAGATAGTTTATAAGGAAGTTTTTAAAAAATTTTGACAAATTAAATCCTTGAGATTTTGTACATGTATTACAAGTATATTGTTGTTTCTAATAAATGTAAAGGAAGGTTAACTATTACTATGGATTAAAGTTTGGGCTTTGGGAAAATCAATTAATGATTTGCAAAATTCTGCACCAAAATTGACTATTAATTTTCTCTATATACTTGTTTCACGGATCACGAATTAATAATGATGATGAATTTCATGCACCACGTCGATCATCCAATGGAATTTATGCCCCACGTTATGAAAATGATTATTATTAATAATATTATTATATATACAAATAGTCGCGTTTTTAATTTTTATGAGATGGTTATTTGGGAAAACATTCTTAAAAAATAGAGAATAGCAAAGCATTAAAATTGATAACAACAATGTTGAATATTAGATATCACAAAATTCTGTTGATTTAGGCTTACTAATTGTTTTTTAGTAAACTTTTTTCAGAGGCTGGAACTGGATTAATTGGGCAACTCATTAAAAGATATTCTTTTACAAATAAGATTTCAGAATATTTACTAACTGTTTTTTTAATAACCTTTTTTTCAGAATTTTATTGAGACTGGAACTGGAAGAAGGTAAATAAATTATGTTCACCTCCATAAGATTATTTTATCATAATAATAAACAAATTATTAATATTAAATAATTTATAAATAAATTATAGATTGATTATCAGGACATTGAAAGTTGATTAAAGACTCAAAACATTCAAAAATAATTCCTTGTGTACAAAGGCTAATTTGAAGCTGGCGTCCCTATGATATAATGATGCAATTAAACTTCAGGAAGGTTCTGAGGTTTATTGAAATTGTGTTGTTGGCAAAGGGTTGTTAAAGCCTCCCACTTGTCTTAAAGCCTATCTGATGTATGAATGGCGTCACCTATAGAAAAATTCTATAGTTATGAGGAGTGCAAACTTACAATTTGCATGATAGTACATTAGTAAAAGGAAAATTTTATTAAATCTGACACCAATGATTAATATCAGATTTATTATTAAGAAACACTGGAATTTGTAATATGTAAATTAGGAAGCATATCTACATACATGTGCGCACACACAAAAAATGGAGACCATATACAACCACATGTACTTTTTTCAAAATTGATTCCTTAATTGACGATCCGTGAATGAAGCAGAGAATTCTTATAGTGATCGGTGTGTGCAAAAATGGTAAAAAATCGTCAGTTGACAATGTTTAACAAATAATAAGGCACAATGTTTTGGTATTACAAACTTTATTCTTTTTATGTAATATATAAAGTAAATCTCATAGATTA